TTTGTCTTGCTGTGAGGCGCACGTGTTTCGGCTGCGCCATCCGTGATGCAGCATCTCCCGTCGCCTCCGTTCAAGATCTTCTTGGTTCTTTCGGTAAAGTCACGTAGAAGGGAGATAATAAAATAATAAAAATACAATAATAAAATAATGCAAAATAATTTGTGAGAATTGTATTATTTTATTATGTTTTATTTGTATTATTTTATTATCTCCCTTCTACGTGACTTTACCGAAAGAACCAAGAAGATGAATCCCTGCAGTCACGAAAGCTTTAAATCGAAATTTTACGTTCAAGATGTCTGCGTGCGTATGCCATTAATCACGGAGCGGTCGTGTAGCGGTTAGTGCTGCATCGCTACGAACCCGGCACCAGTGACGATCATCTGAACCGGTCCCGAGCCTCCCCTAGATCGACTCTGACTCAAATGAGTACCTGGTGCGGTGTGTGAACATCGTCACTCCCTCGTGTGCCGCGCCGGCCTTCGTAGGTGCTCGCTACAGCACTTGCCCCAACAGTATGCCAAGGCTATACGGAGCACCTTTGTCTTTGTCATTAATTACGGCCATCACCCCACTGTGCAGTGGCGTAGCGTGGACTGGCATGTGCCCTGCTGCAAGGAGTGAGATGAGGCCCCTGTCAAATGTTTCACCCCAACCCCACTTTCCTCCCCCGTAGCCAATTGCCTTCGGCCCGTCCGCCTCCTGGGCCCCCAGTGCGCAGTTGCTGCCCGGCGTGGCCACTCGATCGCCCCGCCACTGTGCGTGTAATAGGCCGAGGGCCGCTACGACCCGACACCCCCCCCCCCCCCCGCGAGGTGGTCTCGACAGGACAGCGCGGTAAATGACATCTTGATATCTGGCTAGCTTCAACTTATTTCCTCTTCCCCCCACTCGAAGCCCTTCATGTGGAATTTGCGTCGAAGTGTGTACCATACGTCAAAGCTCAAACGCCTCCTAAAAAACATCAACAAAGAGACTCTCTGAATTCGACATACGCGTTAGGCTAAAGCCTACGCGTTAGGCTAAAGCCTAACGCGTAGCGCTGCGATGAACGCCAAAATAAATCCATTAACCTCGGTGAACGCGTGCAATTGCGTAGTGTTTAAAAGTAATGCATATATATGTATAAAGAATAACGCACGGTGACCCTTCATCTTGGCTAAAGCTAAGCATCACCAGCCTTGTATCAATCCACTGCGGGGTGAAGGCCGTCCCACAACTTGTCTAGTCGTGGGCGTCGTCTAACCATACTCGACCAGGCTGGTAATTGCGATTTGGTAAAGGTGCCCGCGTCGGCCTTTAACGCTATATCGCACCGGTCACCCATCTGAGCACGAGCCAGACTCAATCGTGCTTATCTTCCGAGTTCTGATTAAAATCAAGCAAACAAAAATAATGTGTGTACGGTGATTTTGTTCAACGGAAGCTTTGCACTTGTTCCTGCCTCGTAGCCTGGAGCCCTCACCACGAGGAGCTCGTTAATCAAAGGCAAGGGATCGAGTGCCGAGACGAGCGGCGGCGAACTTTGCCAATGGGATCTTCTCACGATGAGCCGATGTGAGCGCGATGCGTAATACCCTCGAGTGGGAAGAGCCGGCTCACGAACACCAGCCTGAAATGTACACGACGCAAGGAATCTACTTCACCAGAGAGAGAGAGAGAGCTGGGGCTTGGGCTTAACTTAAAAGGTGCAATCACCGCACGTCTCACAGTCCTAGAATGGACCGTGGCAAAAATATGTTTTAAAAGCGTGTACGTTGTGGTGTAGGAAAATACCGCCGTATGTGTCGTACAGACAATGAGTGGAACGACCTCCCCCGTGACAATGGAGGACTTTGCAACCGACATTAATGTTTAAAAAAATAAACTAATAATACTTTAATAATAAGCCTGACGTGTGATAAACTTCGTTTTTGTACATGCGGTATTATGTAAATTACTCTTTGGTTCTTTCGGTAAAGTCACGTAGAAAGAAAAATAACTTAAATACTAGCATACGACGTTTCGATTGCAACACAAGCAATCATCATCAGGTACGAATGAATGAGAAAACAAACCTAGTAAACTTAGAAATACAATGCAATACAACTCAGTGAGTCGTCTAACATAACAGTCAACACCCTACCTGGTTGATTACGTTCTTCCAAAGATTGCTAAATGTGTACATTGTTGTTCTCCACCGGGACATTGGTCCCAGTGCCGACGGAATCAATCGACTCGACTGTCGTGAACTGACGCCACGGGTGTCAGCCGTGGCCGGGAATGGAAAATTCACGTCGCTCGGTTCGTGAGGCAGTGAACCCCAACCACCACTGCAGCACCGCTCCCTGAAACCACCCAGTTTATCTCTTGCCAGCGAGATAATAATGAGAGGAAGAAGACAAGGAGAGAACCGTGGGCCTCTCCCTTGGTGAGACACAGCCAGCTCGATCGCATGGAAGTTGAATTAGCAGCGGGGCGTGCGCGGGAGTTGGATATTTCAGGGTGTTACCCGCCGCGCACTCGACAGCCGACGGCTGCTGTCGCTTCAAGGTAAGAGAGCCAGCCGCACATGCATGGCGCGTGAGTGGGAGGCCACACTGCTTAACAACAACAACGACGACAAGGTAGAATGTGTCATCATGTTCCTGTTGTTTTGCTAGTCCGAATAAATAACCAGAGCCGTTGCATGTATGTTGGACTTCTTTCGCACCGTACGTAGCCAAGCGTGCTAATCGGAGCTCCTGGGGTAAGGACGGCACGCGCTCTTTACGTATATACACATTTATTGACATTATCCATCAACTGTTTCGCGAATCGGTTAGCGAGATCATTTTAGCATGTTGCTCCTTCCAGCTTTAAAACAACAAAAACTCGCCACGTTGTTCATACGTGTGCCGAACTCGCTTTGCGGTGTCCACGCGTGTACTCTCCCGTTTCAGTACGAAACGTTAGAATGAAATTCGCCCTTTCTGGCAATAAAACAGGTGTTAAGATGTTCAAACACCAAATAGATAAAATTTTCAAGCAATCAAACCTGCGTCACCCACACGTGCAATCAAACAAACACGCTCTGATAATGACTAGACGCGTTGTCTTTTAAACTGATTGGCCTGCACCAGAGACACCCATCTTCACGGCCCCACGATACTCCTATTTCGTTTGCTACGTGTCCTGGTGCAAAGGCATTTTTTTGTTGCGCTCAATGTAAAACACATCCGAGTCACGTATCATTTGTGTAATTAACATTGTTTTTGCCGCGGCGGCCAATGCCCCGCGCGAACTTCAAAGCGTCCCTCACATGAACTATACAACACGCAACGATCCGATCTCCCAGAGCCCCGCTCGCTGCGCCCGAATCGGCGCTATCAGTCGGCTGCATGTTTTGCGTGCACCTCGGGGTCTCCGTGGGGACATGAGGGGTATCCGTGTCTGCCTCTGTATCTCCACGTGTATCGGTGTCTCCCTACGGTTCTCCGAGTCTCTCTACGCTTATCCGTCTGCATCTGTTTCACCCTGTGTCTGTTTGGCTCGACGTGTATCTGCGTGTTTCTGCGCGTGTCTCTACGCTTCTGCGTGTCTATGTGCAGTTCTCTCTCTGTGTGCATGTGCGTCTGTCTGTCTCTCACTCTGTGGTCCTCTGTACCTCTTCGCGTTTCTGTGTGTCTATGATTGTGTCCGCCTCCCTGTGTTGCTTTGTATCTTAACGTGCTTTTGTGTGTCTCACCCTTCCCCCCCCTCACCGCCTGAAAATATTCGGAACCCGTTCGATATTTCTCGGCGCCCCCTTACGGATTTGTGCCTTCATCGATGTCCCTTATCGCTCTTCGTAACTACGCCCAACGACCCACAGTGCAAGTGAAGAGCATCGTATCATCATCATCACCAACCATGCTGGATGAAGACCCTAACCAAACCGCATGGCGTCTGCACGCGAGTTCATTCCTTGTCGCTCCATCTCCGCAGCGGACACGTGTGCTCGCTCCTTTGACGCACGCGTATGCAGACATCGTTAAAATGAACTCCTACCGACGTTGTGATGTGTCGAAAGGTTCTGCCAAACAACGAGGCAGTTTGTGTGAAGGGCAGTTGGGTAAAGGAACAGGCGCAGTTTTTTATTATTATCAAGAGCTGGCATAGCAGATAAAGGGTATCATTAAATCATTTGCGGTCTAACAAGTGTCGGTTAATCTCTGTTGAGGTTTGTTATAATTCCCTGGTAGTTTAGGGATATTCTGAAGTTCAACTGGAGTACATGTCGTGGACATTATTCAACACTTAGCGAAGGAAAAAAAATCCCGAAAGGCTGCTGAGCAGCCCCTGCAGCGTCACGACACACACACACGCGCGCGCACACGGTGCCATCAAAGCCGTCATGTTTAGATTTCCACATTTCCCTGGGCGATATTCCCAAAGAAACAAAAACACGTGCCGATCCACAAAAAGAAAGAAAGAGCGCGTGGCGCTGCGAAGACCTCCACCAGCATCTCGCGCCCTCGGCACGATGCTGAGAACACCGCGAGCACTCGGTGGCATCCACGGCGTGGTGCACACTCGTGAGATGCGTTGGTGCCGTTTAGGTTCTTTCATACGAAGTGCGCGCCTGGCGCTCGGCAGCCCCGAGACGCACATTTACACCGAATCCTTAAGATTCTCCGCAAGCCGCAAAGCAAGATGTTTGGCCGATGCCCTCTCCAGCCAGCCACCCCCCACCACCACCACCACACACACACTCTCTCAACCCCCCTCCACACTCCTCCTCCATACCTCCTCCAGCAAGCCACTCTCTCATCTCGTCTTCGTCCCACCTCCTCCCTCCCCACCCCCCCACTAACCTAACACCGGCTCCCACCCTCCCTACCTCCCTCCCTCCCCCCTTGTCGGGACTCACCCAAGCGCCGCCCTGGCCCCCATCAATTCCTCCCCCACCTCAAGCTGTCCCCCCCCCCTTGAGTCCCCCTCGTAGCGCTGACGCCATCGCCAGGATCTCTGCGGGAGCTAAAGAGGAGCGGTACCCATGAGTGGAGAGACCCATTCCTGAGCTGGGAGGCGAGCGAGCAAGTGGCCGGCCCGCTCCCTCCTCCTACTGCTCCTCCGTGTCTCCCCACGAGCCAGAGCCCCTGAGCTGGGCTCTGCCGTGCCGAGGCAGGCACATTTGTTTTAAATTAAAACTCGTTTTCCGATCGCTGCTCCCTCCCGGCAGCGCACTGACGCCCTATCGCTTACGCCGCCACTCGCGAGCCTTCATCCGGTAATAAATTTGCAAAGCGTGTTTCTCTCTCCCTCCTCTCCCTCCTCTCTCTCCGCTCTCTACATCTCGCTCTCTCGTCTCTCTTTCTTTGACTTTTTTGTATTATTGTTATTATATTATTACGACCGTTATCGTTTATTATTTTGTAACCCAGTAGGAAACCCGCCTTCTGTTATAACCAGTAGACATTTAAAGGATGTTTTATAACTTGAAGGTTACGTGCCAACACCGCCGCCACCACCACCGCCACCACAACCCCCCCTCGTATTAACTACAAACGCGACTGTGAGCAGAGCGCATGTGGGGGAGGTCTCCAAGCCCGGCGTTGCGCAGGTAAGTCGGCGATAACCCTCTGGCAACCGAAGCGACTTTTGTGGAACAGTTTAGTTGGCACCTCTTGAAACCGGGGGCTCATCCTCTCTGTTCTCACGCAGGTGATCACGGAGGCGACGTGAGCTCTACTCGCGATGCGCATCCACCGACGCTCCACGCGGAGCCAGCGTGCCCAGTGAGCGCTCGCGTCTACCTGGCGGGGCAACGTCGTTGAGCCGCGGCCAAAACAAACAGCACGGGACGACACAGAGAGAGAGAGAGACACGCGTACGCACAGAGAGAGAGAGAGACACACACGACGAGAGATAGTGAAGATCACATCCTACGATTTCAAGGTACCAAGAGCGGCGCGTCCGTTAGGGTAGAAGAGTGAAAGTCGCGTGCGCGACTCCCCGAGCCCAGAGAGCGACGAAGAGCGCGGGGCGAGCGGAGCGACCGGCGGCTGCGTTGACATGAGCGGCGTTGCGATGCCCCCGTCGCATCGGGACGATATTGTGGCCACGTAGTCGACAGTGCGGCATCCGCTCTACTCGGCATCTCTTAAAGCGGCGGGGGGGGAGGGGGAGCTGGGAAGAAGACTGGGAGCTTCGGCCCTCGAGGACGGGACGGGTTGTCTATGGGCAGCAGCAGCTGCAGCCACGCGCGTCTGCCCGAGCCGCAGTGAACCTGGCCGGTGCCCGGCAAAGCGACTATGCAGCTCCATGTGCTCCTCCTGCTCATCGTCGCCTCTCTCGTGGATTTTACGGGCGGCCACAACGCGACGGCGAGGGCCAAGCGGCACAGACGAAGTGAGTATACGTGTGTGTGTGTACACGTGTGTGTACACTGTGTGTGTGTGTGTGCACGTGTGTGTGTACACGTGTGTGTGTATGTGTGTGTGTGTACACGTGTGTGTGTACACGTGTGTGTGTGTACACGTGTGTGTGTGTGTGTATGTGTGTACACGTGTGTGTATGTGTGTACACACGTGTGTGTGTGTATGTGTGTGTGTACACGTGTGTGTGTGTGTACACGTGTGTACGTACACGTGTGTGTATGTGTGTACACACGTGTGTGTGTGTATGTGTGTGTACACGTGTGTGTATGTGTGTGTGTACACGTGTGTGTGTATGTGTACACACGTGTGTGTGTGTGTGTACACGTGTGCGTGTGAGTAGCGGGTAGGGCGCGCTGCGCTGCGAACGCAGCCACCCGAGTTCGATTCCCGCTCACGGCCAGTGACTATGCTGTCATCTGAACCGGTCCTGGGCCTCCCCTAAGTTGACTCAGCCTCAAATGAGTGACCTGGTGCGGTGTGTAAACATCGGCACTGGGGAGACAAAGGCGGCCGGGTGTGATTCGGGCCACAACACGGCCTCGGGTACCATTCCAGCCTTCACGGGTACTCTCGAACAGTACTTGACTCAAAATAACGGTGTGGCTATACGGGGGATCTTTGTCTGTGTGTGTGTGCACGTCATATTTTAGTATCAACTTTACGCATCCACGGCACAATACAACGGCGGCAATGCCTCGACCTCTGCCGAGAGTTTAGAGAAACTGCTGTTTGCGAGCGCCTATTGAGGCCGAATTCCTATGGAGTGGAGTGGCGAGCACCATGCCCTCATTGAAGACTGAGTCGGCCCAGGGGGGGTGGCGGAAAGTATCGGACTTGCAAGCGGCGATGTAATTCGTGTCCAGGAATCGAACCATTCTAGTCGAGTTTCGTAGTAGCTCGGAGCGCGAAACCACTGCGCCACCGCTCACACCGACAGACACGGACACACGCAATGACACATGCTAGAGACAAACATCCCCCGCCCCCCATATAGCCTTAACTGACTTTTGGGCAAAGTGTTGTTAGCGAGCCGGGTACGGCACACGAGGGGGTGGTTGTCCAGCACCCCCACGCACGGCCGCCTTTGTCTCCCTTCGTGGCGATGTTTACGCACCGCGTGGGGATACTCGTTTGAGTGTGAGTCGATCGAGGGGTTCGGGCCCCAGCGCCGGCTGACTTTGTCGCCACTCTCCTTACTCGCGAGCGGGAATCGAAACTCGCGTCGCCCGGTTTGGGACACAGCGCGCTAACCACTGCGCCACCGCCACCCCCCACCGCTGAAGACACGCGCACACACGCGCGCGCGTGTCACGCATGTCACGCGTGTCAGTTTCAGTTTCATTTATTAGGTATAACCCTGTGAGCCATGTGGCTCTTGACTCGGGTGCAACCGCAGCAAAACAAAAACATGAACAAGAAACATCTTAAAGTGACTACGCGCAAACAGAAAAATCCAGGGAAAAACAGCAAAGTGTTCCAGAAAAAAGAACCGCATTTCAACGCTGTGTGCAAAAATCCCAATGGGATGCAAGTCAAACAATAGCAACCATAAGACAATGTAGATTACAGTTATCAGGCTAACTCTGTACCACAGCAAACAAACATGGCTAAACCAAAAGTTTTCAAAATCACCAAAATAAAGCTATAAAAACAGCGTAACAGCGATCATAGGACGTACTCGACGTAATTGCTTTACCGTCGCCGCGGAACAGCTGTGAGCCCCAGTGGGGGGGGGGGGGGGGGGTTCACGCGAACGGCGCACGTGGACAGACGACTGACCGGTGAAGGCGATTCGTGAAGAGTCACGGGTGCCGCACGGATTGCCGGTGGTCGCGTAAACCATCGTCCGCTCAGACATGGGCTGATGCGCACAACACGGCCGCCGTGCCTAAGTGGAAATAACCTCTTTTTTTAGTTTTGAACCCGCGATCATATTGATACACGGTGGTGGGCGCGCTCCTTGCACTCGTGAAGTTGACCACTTCGAGTTCGATTCCTGGCCCGCGACCGACATCAGTAGCGCATGCTGTATATGCCGTATTGGGCAGACAAAGACAAAGATCCCCCGTGTAGCCTTAACCGACTGTTGGGGCGAGTGCTGTTAGCGAGCACCTATGAAGGGCGGCATGGCGCACTGGGCTGTGGGTGGCCAGCACCACGCCCGGCCGCCTTTGTCCCCCCAGTGGCGATGTTTACACACCGCACCAGGTACTCATTTGAAGAGGCTGAGTTGATCTAGGGGAGGCTCAGGACCGGTTCAGATAATCGTCACTGGTGTTGGCCGTGAGCGGGAATCGCTACACACACATGCGCGCTCCACTAAACCAGCGTGGTGAAGTATGGTCAACTAACTGCCATGGCCGATGGGCATGGTCGTTGTGAAGAAGGCTTTCGCCCAGCAGTGGAAAGGCAACGGGAGTGTCAGTCAGTCAGTATAACACACGTATATAATGGGAGTGTCAGTCAGTATGTATAACACACGTATATAATGAGAGTGTCAGTCAGTCAGTATAACACGCGTATATAATGAGAGTGTCAGTCAGTCAGTATAACACACGTATATAATGGGAGTGTCAGTCAGGATGTATAACACACGTATATAATGGGAGTATCAGTCAGTATAACACACGTATATAATGAGAGTGTCAGTCAGTATGTATAACACACGTATATAATGGGAGTGTCAGTCAGTCAGTATAACACACGTATATAATGGGGAGAGATGAAAAAAAAACAACTACAATGAGTCCCAAAGACTCGCCGAGGAGTGCCCAGTTTGAGATGTTTGGACGATATCCCGTTATATATTAAAGAAGTATTTGCGTGTCATGGAAGGAATAACTCACACACACACACGCACACACACACGCACACACACACGCACACACACGCACACACACACGCACACACACACGAGGGAGAACGCCAAAACTCCCGTGGCGGATGTGTCAACAACCCAACTTGACGTACTGCCCAACCTTTGCGTGAGCATGCGTTGGCTACGTTACGGTACGTATGTTGAACTTCTATTACTAATCGGAGGTGCGAAATAAGTTCAACATACGTACGTACATCATGAGTTAAATCGCTTTTTTTTGCAGGATTGCCAAAACGCTCATGCTTATGAATTGATAGTTAATTGTAATATATAGCGAACGCAAAGCCTTTCGTCATTCTACTGCTGGATGAAAGCCTCCCTAAGCCGTGTCGGCCATGTGGGGGTTGTTTGGCCATACCTCACCACGCTGGTAAGTGCAGGATGGGGCGTGTAAGCCGCGGACCCCAAAAACGGATTAGTCATCTGGGTTTATAGCGCCATAGCGCTAACCACAGCGCCACCGCTCCACTCTAATAGGTAATGGATAGTTACTAATGCATGTAATCATGTAATGTACAGACTCTTTGTCAATCCACCGTTGGAAGAAGGCGTTCCTCCGCCGTGGTAGCCATGAGGGATTGATTGACCATACTTCACTATGCTCGATACAAGTTATTCATAGTTAGGCGTTATCAATAGTGACAAGACGCTACTGGGACAACGCATAATGAATACTGAACAGTATTATATTATTATTCTCCCTGTCTTGCGTAGCATTGCTGAGCTTTCAGTTGCATCTCTGGGGCTTGAACAACGTGCAGCTTTAACATTGACGTGGCAGGTCGGCACACTCAGATGCACGCAGTGTGTCAGTAAGGTGACAACACCACCATCAACGCCACCACTCAGACGCACGTGTGTCAGTAAGGTGACAACACCACCATCACCGCCATGACTCAGATGCAGTGTGTCAGTAAGGTGACATCACCACCATCACCGCCATGACTCAGATGCACGTGTGTCAGTAAGGTGACATCACCACCATCACCGCCACCACTCAGATGCAGTGTGTCAGTAAGGTGACAACACCACCATCACCGCCACCACTCAGATGCGCGTGTGTCAGTAAGGTGACATCACCACCATCACCGCCACCACTCAGACGCAGTGTGTCAGTAAGGTGACATCACCACCATCACCGCCACCACTCAGATGCGCGTGTGTCAGTAAGGTGACAACACCACCATCACCGCCACCACTCAGACGCACGTGTGTCAGTAAGGTGACAACACCACCATCACCGCCACCACTCAGATGCAGTGTGTCAGTAAGGTGACATCACCACCATCACCGCCACCACTCAGATGCACGTGTGTCAGTAAGGTGACATCACCACCATCACCGCCACCACTCAGATGCGCGTGTGTCAGTAAGGTGACATCACCACCATCACCGCCACCACTCAGATGCAGTGTGTCAGTAAGGTGACATCACCACCATCACCGCCGTGACTCAGACGCAGTGTGTCAGTAAGGTGACATCACCACCATCACCGCCACCACTCAGATGCAGTGTGTCAGTAAAGTGAAATCACCACCATCACCGCCACCACTCAGATGCGCGTGTGTCAGTAAGGTGACATCACCACCATCACCGCCACCACTCAGATGCAGTGTGTCAGTAAGGTGACATCACCACCATCACCGCCGTGACTCAGACGCAGTGTGTCAGTAAGGTGACATCACCACCATCACCGCCACCACTCAGATGCAGTGTGTCAGTAAAGTGACAACACCGCCATCACCGCCACGACGTTGACCCGTCAGTCTCCCAGGCGCCAGGGTCATTGTCAACACACAGGCCCATCGTGCGCTAGAAACCCGGCCACCTAAGTTTGAGTCCGCGACCACGGCTAACATCAATGGTGAGTGAAATTTGGACCGGTCCTGGGCACCCACCCACCTTCACTGAGCCGCACTGACCAACGTGGTGAAGTTTACTCGCACAACCCCTGTGACCAACGCGGCGTAGGGTGGCCTTCATCCAGCAGTGGATTGGCAAGGGTGCTGTTGACTATCGCTATACTATTGTGCGAACATGTACAGCCCTCGTGTCAATGGGCCAGTGGGATGAGACGTCTCTCTCCTTCTCTC